ATGACTAGCTTTTTGTAGTTTAAGAGGGATCGTCAAAGAGAGCATTTCAAACGAAATACGAGAAAAGGAGATACATTTATCTTTTTGCAGACAATCGTAATTATGAAATAGTGAAAATAATAATTTCCATTCGTTGACGACTGAATTGTTTATTAATAAATAAACGAACATGGAGTCGAAGCTTCAGAGCGACGTCTATTCTAAATATAATAAGAAATTTCATAAAATAAATTATATGTATTATTAAAAAAATTCATATTTTTTCCTCGACAGATAACTAGTAGTTATCATTGAGTCGAAGCTTCAGAGCAACGTCTATTCTAAATATAATAAGAAATTTCATAAAATAAATTATACGTACTATTAAAAAAATCCATATTTTCTCCTCGACAGATAACTAGTAGTTTCCCTTTCTTCTCATTATTAGTATTTTCATTGTCATACCGCAAATCGTTCCAAATATTAATCCACTAATTAATGTAAGCGATGAACATCTCATTCATGGAGACATAATTGATTTAGGATACGTTTACGTCACCAGGCTGAGTTGGGATTTGCTGAATACAGTACATTGTTCGAATCTACGTCTTAGTAGATATCTTCAGGTCTATTATGCAGATTATTACAATCGCAAATTTCCAATCGAATAAACGAGAATAGACGAGCATATTTTCGTTTCATAATAATTTCAACAATCTCTGAAAATTATTGTTCTATTTTAGATTTACAGTATCATTTATCGTTTAACTTAATTGGTATTTAAAATACTAACAAATTATGTATATAATACGAAACCTCTTAAAATTTGTTTCACTAAATTTATAGTACCATTTATAGTTCAATTTAATTATCATTTAAAATATTAACAAATTCTCTGATACCACTTATCACTTAATTTAATTATCATCCAAACGAATAACAAATTACGTAGCAAATCTTCTTAGAAATCGACTCTTCTCAAAACTTGTTCTTCTCCTATATCATTTATCGCTTAATTTAAATACCATTTAAAATAGTAGCAAATTTCGCTTCTAGAAATTGTCGTCTTCCAAAGCTTGGTCTTCGAAATCGATAGTGAATTTATAGTATCGTGAGATATATCTTTTCCCGTCGTGCTCCACAAATTTAGACGATCACCACGTCCATGAACCGAGAACACGTAGACCGGTTGTACGTCAGCTGGTGAGTGAACTCCGACGATCTAATGATAGAACTCGGTGCACGCGCATATAGTCGCTCTTGAACCTGATCGTAATAATAGAATTGCGCGATAATAACCGATAGGAAAACGCGATCGTGCGTCTGCCCTCGGACTCCTTGCAACGTTCGATGACGCTTTTACCCGGTGCTGGTGTCTGCACGCTTAGGCGACGCCAGCTGTTCGTCGTTCACGCGTGTTCCACGCGACAAGGGAAAAGGAAGAGAATGAAGGGGAAGAAAAAACGAGGAAAAAAAAAAGAGAGAATGTCGAGGGCAGGTAATTAAGCGCACGAGCCAACGATCAAACGACGCGTTCGGATAACAAACGATTTTCTATCAGAGCGACTCATTGATTAGTCACGGTCTGCGGGAAGACGATGCACGGAAAACTCGCCTCCAACGAGGAAAATAGTAGCTATCCACGTTGTTGGGCATTGCGGGAAGTTTGTTGGGAATTTTAAGGAAATTTTACGAGCGGTGTATTTTTAGCGGATTGTCGGTTCGTTAATAGAACGAGGATTTTTATAAAACTAATTATTTTTAGCGAAAATTGGTAATGGAGTTTGTTTTTTCTTTAAACGGGATATCTCGTCTGCTTTTATTTGTACACCTGACGAACGTTGATTTACTTGTGCGTGCATATTATTCGCGTATTATGAACTTGCTCGAATATTGTGCCAGGTGTGTCGGACCCTATTCTCGTATTATGTCTTTCATATTTTACGTATGAAGATCACACGAGAAAAATATGATAATTGCATTTTTGTCGATTTTCCGATTTCGTTATTACTCGGTGGCTACAGAGTGAAAAGGAAGTCGACAATTGGAACAAACTGATCTATAAAACTTTGAAAAAGCGATGACAAATCTACGAAACTTTATGGAGATCCGAGTGCATAAGTAACGCAGTGAAAGCATATTATCCATCGCAAAACCAATAGGAAGAAGTCTAAAAATCGCAAAACGCGATTTATCATGACCTTCTCCTATATTTCTCGTACTTTGCGTCAACATTCTCTTTATCCAACTATGTACAGTGGAAACTATTCGTACGCTTGTCTTCTCTTATCTTTCATGAACATATTACGTGTATCGTATGAAACATTCTGAGTATTCAGTGGGACATTTTTCACGCTTATTATATGCTTGACGTGACTATTCATATCGTATACTAATTTTTTACTGAATATAAATTTACAATAAAAAATATCTTTCACCTCGTATATATATCTCCAGATTGGATTCAAATTCTGCCAATATAGTCTCGCCAGTCGTCGTGTCTTATTATATCTTTAACAAAATATCTAAATCACATTATATCCCGTTATATGTTAATGGAGGTATAAGACGCACACGTAAAGATGATCTGTGCTAAGTGTACGAATTCTTTCGCGAGCCATTGTACATTGCCTAATAACAACAGAAACTCCAACAGCTCGAAAACTCAAAAGACCTCGATCTCCGTTTCCGTTGCCCCTCTATTTCCCGTTCAATCCACTTGTACCCCCACAGACGGGCTAACAACCCCTTTTTCCAGCAACGAAACGCCAAGTTAACAAACAACCTACCCTAGAAACATCCATTAAAGTCCTCTGGAAGGAAACGCAGGCCCTCGAGGCAGACAGACTCTCCGCAGCTTGGATATTGCGCTTCTCGGCGGCGGATCATAAACTCGCTCTGGTGAACGCTCGTTTTCGTTGCGAAACAAAGTAAACGCGGAACGACATCAGCCAGCGGTGCCTTCGTCGTCGTCGTCGTCGCCGTCGTCGTCGTCGTCGTTGTCGTCGAGACAGCACGGTAAACACTGAGGATGCCACCAGTGCGGGAGACTTCTGGTTGCCAGTGCACACCGTTTCTGTATCGCATAAGGTTCACGTGGGACAGGAATACCACCGCGGAGCCACGGGGTGCGGTCTCGTTTCGCCACGGCACTTTTCTGTCTCAAGCATAGACCAGAAAACCGGTCTCACGAACGAAACGAACGAGCGGACGAGAGTCCACGCGTCGTCGCCGTCGATCGAACCAACAAGTCCTTCTTCCTCTTTCTATGCTCGGTCGGATAACACGACTGGCGACTCCGAAGGATCAGCTGCTTCGTCGGTGGCAGCTACGTGATCTACTCTTGCGTTAACGAGCGAGCGATCAAGATCGAGCCGATTTTTCACTTTCGTTCCACGTATTATTTGGAAGCTTTCGTTCGGTTTTGCTTGCAATTTCTGCGCGTCTTTTATCGTTGCAGAGGATAGTTGGTTCAAACGACGAGATAACTCGATGTTGAAATCGTCAAATATATTTTGAAATAATTTATAAGTACAGAGGATGTTCGCTAAGACGCTAGGTACTAACTGATTCGCTAAACACCGTATATTGATCGCTATTAAAATCGCTCGAGACTGAAACTGAAAAACTGATCACCTTACGATCGCGTTCGTTTATTTATATTGATCGACGGAGTGGCGGAAAATTGAAATTTGACTTTGTTTTACGGTTGCACGTAGCGGAGACTTTGCTTTGCCCAGAGTTTATTTATTATTGTATTGTTACGTTATAACAATTTATTACATTACAGCAACATGATTCGAATTGTCCTCTAGCTCATGTGCCGCTATATTGCACCAGGTTGTCCGAAAAGTTTCTTTCGTTCTATGAGAATATAATAGACGCACAACGTTTTTCGTTTTATATTATTTTGTCGAAATTACGCACGATCCATTTTGTTTCGTTCAGATAAACGCCGCGATATTTCACAGACTTGGTTTCGTAGAGACGTAGGCGTATAGCTGTATTATTTAAGGGCGAGTTCTGCCGCTCGTAAATCGCGCTCCAGACCAAGCCGCCCCCGCGGGAATCGAAGTTGCTCCGGCGTATTTCCAGCCGGATGGTCCGTCGACGCGACGCTCGCTGAGTTTTCTTTGGCGTCGACCGGGGGACGCGTTGCCCGCGGACGCTTTGAAACGCTCCACGCGTCGACGATAAATTTCTCCGGATGAAGAGAAGCTCCTCCGCTTCGTATAGCAGTGGTTATGGCAACTTTTTCACCCTTTGACGCTGCTACGCGTATCACTTATCGGTTTTGTTCGAATTTTGAGATTTGAAAACGAGAGAGTTGGAATATACGTCGGAAAATTTGGAATATCGTTTTAGTTGCGAAAAGTTTGTTATTGATCAAGGTCCTTTGATTGACGAGAAATTTTTGTGGATAAAGAGAAACTTAGCTCCTCTGTTCTGTGTAATAGTAGTTGTGGCGATCAAAGATATATTCAAGAATTTCTAATCGCAAACTTAAACACAATTCTTTTACGATAATGTAAAATGTTGCCTAGGGATTATTCATACGAAACCAATAACATCACCCTTCGTCCGAGTTTCTTTCAGTCGAAACAACAGCAAATTTGAAGCACCGACATACTTGTCACGATAGTTTCACAATCTTTATCCATTAGATACCCGTGTTGAATCGACGAAACACACAAAACATGTAATTCTTCCTTTTAATTCCTCTGATCTGAAACGACTTCCTGATATCACCGACGCATTTATCAAACCAAAAAACCCAACAGACAAGTCATAACAGAGTGGGAAACTCACAACTCGACCGACAATCCGCAGCGACTTACGAAAGTTTTGAGACTTTCTGAAAATTGATAAAATGTATTGCTTCGATGACAAATCTAATCTTTATCTATAAATCTATATCTTTAATCAGAAGATGAGTAATCTTCTCGTCTCAGAACAATCGCTGAACAGAATAAACGCGATTATCGAAGCCAGCGGATAAGATAGCCACGTAATTTCCTCAGATCCTGCAATAAAAGCTCACGTGCGTCGGTTGTTGTCACCGGGACAGCCGGCATGCGACGAGACGGATTCGACCAAAATCTCTCACGAGGCAATGACCTTCCCGAATAACCCCAGGCCGGTGTCATCGGGTAACGGCGAAGATATGGAACCAAGAAAGCCAGGAACACCGGAACTTCCGGGTGGCTCGCCACAGGAACCGACTGCCGCGAAACAGTATGCGACGAGAAGCAACGGATCCTACAGTGACGCTTCCGGATCCTCTGAATTAGAGGCGCTACTTCCGCCAGTGGATAGTTTCAAGGAGGAAGAACGTGCCCAATGGGAGCCTCTCTCCGGCGACAAGTTCTCCAGGCAGAAGAATACGCCTAGGTAGGGAATTTCTTTTTCATGGGATTCTTTTTCTCAAGAGAGAAAGCTTCTGCACAGTATTACGCGATTTTTTTAACATTTTCTTTTTCTCTTACGATGTTTTTATGGTATTCGTAACGTGTATACCGATAGATCTCGGAGAAGCGTCGAACCTTTCACCAAATGGAATTTATTCCGTTTTCGTGAATGAATATACACGTTTGTACAGATCGTTTGTACAGATTCTCTTCCTCGTCAATTTTCCCTTTCAACTACGATTACTCGTATCACCAGACAGAAGGAACGCATGATCGAAGACTTGGTCACCCGTGTCGCTTCTCCGTCTTATCGATTTCCTTTTTTCAGTAGAATTAATCGTATCAGCAGACAAAAGCTAGATCAAACCTCACCGATATACAAGCTTAAGATAACTAACGAATAACGCGATGAATGCAGGTTCGAAGCGTACATGATGACCGGCGATCTAATGCTGAACCTGTCGCGCACGCAGCAGAGCAGCGGCCTGCTCCCGAAGCACCAGAAGAAGGTCGACTCGCTGAGGTACAACAATCATCATACCCACCATCACCATAATCACCACAATCACCACCATCATAACTCGGTACCGACCAGTCCTAACGAGATGCTGGGCCATCACCGTGCTTACAAGTGTACCGGTTCGAATTCGGCCAGCACCTCACCGGTCGGGATCAGCAAACGTGAGAGCGGCCAGTGTCCAGGCCAGAGCGATACTAGCAAACAAAATGCCGCGAGTTTCGGTTATTCGAGCGGCTTCGTTCGCACCTCGCGCTCCGAGGACCACTTGCAATTCCAAAAGGATCCGTCAATGAGCGCGGTGGACATTGACATTGACGACGACGTCACGTCCAGCTTAAACACCCTGTTGGACACTCGACCTGACAGCGGCCAGGGTCTGTCCAGCGATCGAATCGTCTGGACGTACAACGCGCCAGTTAGCTCGCCGTCCGCCTCGGAGCGCACCTCCTGCTGTCAGAACGGCAGCTCCTCGCAATCTTCGTCGAGTAGCTCCTCGACGGAGGGAACTAGTCCCCAAAGATCCTTATCGCCAACCTCCCCTACCTCGGTCTCGTCCTCCGTCATGTCCTCCAATTCTGGATCCCGTAGGTTCCCACC